CTGTAAGTTTGAATTAGAGGTGTCTAACGGGCCGGGTTGATCCGTAACCGAACCGGCCCAGATAAGTTAAAATCGGAACTAGACCGGCCCGGTAAATAGGGGGTCGGGTGGGCTGGGTAGGAGGGGTAGAGGAGGTTGGTCTGTTTATTTTTTTTTGTAACGGTTAACCAGACCGGTCAAACTCTGTGCACGTGAATAGTGTCGTGTACCGGTTTAACCAGTCCGGACCGGACCGGTACACCGGCTAATTCTTTTTTTGTCTTTTTTTCTTTTTTCTTTTTTGAAATCAATGGGGCCCACTAACCGTTGGCAACGGTCACCCCTAGCAGGGATCTGTTGCCCAACGGGTTAATTGCATTAATAGCCTCTTTTTTCTTTAAAATTTAACCTTTTTTCAATTTACAAAATTAACCTTCTCTAAAATTATAAATACCCCTCTCCCCCCTTCTTCATTTCTTCACTCAACTCTCATTTCTCAATCTCAATTTCTCTCATTCTCTCATTCTCCAATTTTCAAGACTTCAAGTCTTCAATTCATCTTCTAATTTTATTTGGCTCTTTTTTCTTGAATTTAATTTATCGTGTTTTATCATTCGGATTTTGAAGTTTGAACAATTGAACTTCAAAATTGAAATACTTGTTTGACGTTTGTTCGTGGTAACATCGGAATTGCGTAATCAAGTGCTCAATTTATTGTCGAATTCGGTGCACTCCCTCCAACTCTTTCTCTTATTTACTATTTTAATTGCATATTTAATTTTAACTTATACTTTAATTTTTACAATATATTTAATGCTACTAAAAAAGCGTGTAGAAAAGTTGCTGGTAGGGCAAATAAGAAAAAGAGGTAGTCGTTCAGCATCTGGTAGTAATAGTAATACCCCATTTACATAAGTTTCCGAAACATCTCCTAATGATAATATAGATTATGAACAATTACAAGAAGATTTTGGAATAGAAGATAATGAATTAGGAAGATGAGATACCAGCTACACCTACTATTGCTGGAGCTGGTAGTGTTGGAGTTGCTACAAGGGGGGGTGGTCGTGGCACTAGTAGTAGACCACCTGTGGCTCCGACTACTAATCGTAGAAAAAGAAGTAAGGTTTGGAATTTTTTTTTGAAATAATTCAAGGTACTGACAGAGTTAGATGCAAACTTTGTAAAGATGATTTTAAACATTTGACTGGAGGAAATTTAGAGGGGACTGAGACGCTTAGTAGACATATGAGAATTGAACATCCCATAGAATGGGGCTCTGATGGTGATGGAAATCAAACAACTCTTAACCCTACTACTGGAGGACTTATGAAATATGAAAAAATGAAGGATCGTGAGGAGTTAGCAAAATGATTGCTTTGGGTTGTCTATCTTTTTATTTTGCTTCTTCATCATATCTTATTATGTATATTCAAAGGATTTACAATCCTTTATTTAAAGGTATCCCTAGGTAGAGCTGATATCTTTAGACTTCATGGACAATATCAAACATACATACGTTATTTGTTTAGCCACCTTCCTTGTAGAGTTTCTCTAACTTCTGATATTGGCCATGCTGTTAATGAAAATGATTATTTGACAATTACATGTCATTAGATAGATAATACTACTTGTATGCAAAAATGTATTATCGCTTTTAGATATGATGAAGATCAGAGCCATACTGCTGCATTTATAAGTAGTACTATTTGTGAAGTTGTTGAATTTTATAATCTCAAGCAAAAAGTATTGTGTATATTTTTTGATAATGCTTCTAACAATAATGCCGCAATTTCAATGTTAAAACTGCATTTGCAACCACCTCTTGATGAAATTTTTCATGTTAGGTGTGCATGTCATGTTTATAATTTAATTGTTAAAAGTGGCCTTGATTTATTTTCAACTGAGATTACTCATGTTAGAAGAGCAGTTAGTGTTATTCAAGGAAATAATAGACAATCTAGAATAAAGGAATTTAAGAATAAGTGTGTCCAGTATAACCTTAAACCCAGATTCATGCCAGACGAAATTGTTACTAGATGGAATTATACATATATATTTTTAAAATGTTGCTACAAATATAGATTCCCAATAACTGAAGTTGCTAATGCGCATTGTACTGATCCAAACCATATGTTAACAACTACTACTTGGGAGGTCATTAATGATGTTGTTAAATTTTTACATAAATTTTATACAGCTACTGTTGAGTTTTCTGGAGCATATTACCCTACTGTTACTATGGCTTTAGTACATATAGCTGAAATTTCTTTTCTACTCTTTGAATTCAAGAAGAAAGAAAAATATAAGGATGTTGTGGAAAAAATGCAAGCAAAATTCAAAAAATATTTCTTTCCAATTCCTCTGATTTACTTAATTGGTGCTGTTTTAAATCCTTCTATTAAGATGTCTGATTGTCACCAATTAATGAATGTTTTATATACTTATATGGAGATTGGACCAACTGAAACACCAGATTTATATAATTGTATGAACAAGCTAAATTAATATTTACAATAATTATATAATTATTATGCAAATGTAATTGATGTTGCTGCTCGTACTATAGGCAATGTTAATCCCACTATGCACTGTATCACTTCTGCTACTGTGGATGATGAAGAATGCCTTGATAGTTTTAATATTTTTTCTACATTTTCTAACACTCAAACCAGTAGCAGGAACATTGATGAACTTCAATTCTACTTGCATAAACAAAAAGAGCCTCGCACAAAGGAATTTTCACCGTTGGGATGGTGGCATGAGAATGGAAAGCAATTTCATGTTCTTTTCGCTATGACTCGGGACGTGCTGAATGTGCCAATTTCAACTGTTACATCAGAGAGTGCATTTAGCCAAGCAAGACAACAACTTGGAGACACCCATCACTCATTGGGAAGCAATGCTTTGGAAGTTTTAGTATGTTTCAGAGATTGGATTAGATCGGAACGAAGAAATCAAGGACGTGAAGATGTTGATAGCCCAGAAGACGAGGAACTTGGAGATATATTAACACATGGTAACCCATCCGAATTTAACACTCCAGAAGAAGGTCACTCAGTTCATATTGATTATGAAGAACTTACTAAGGCAATGCAAAACCTTTGAATTTACTCTTTTTTGGTTAATTTACTTGTTGTTAAATGTAAACCTTTCAATTTGTAAGTTTGAATTATGAAATAAATGTAGCACTTGCAATTTATAAATGCAATTTTTTTCATCTTTTTTGTATTCTTTATATTAATACAAAGTATTAATATAACTTACAATAGTTATACAAAATACAAAAAAAAATTAAAAAATACACTAAACCTGGCCCGACTCGACCCCCTCAACCCGTAACCCTTACGGTTCAATTTTTACCCGGATGAACCCGAACCCGTTAAACCCGATAAGCCCCAACCCGTAACCGGCCCGGACCATAACCCATAAGGATACAAAAAATCCCAACCCAACCCGACCCGGCCCACCCGTTTAACACCCTTAGTTTGAATGCTTTTAACTTCTGTAAATTGTCAGCCAGAATAGTTCAAATTGGTAAAAACAAAAAATAAATTTACTTTGGAGGTTTGGGCTTCTGATTGCCATACTAACTTTTTTCCACCTGTTATTTCGACCGCTTCACTCTTTTTTTTTTTTTTTTTTTTTTTTTTTCACTATATGCTTTTGAATTATTGAAGTCAGGAATTGCTGGTGGGACCAAGAAAAAGGAGTATAGCGCCACAATACCTGACGCTATACATTAACGGTGCCGTTACTGTTAATGTATAGCGCCAGGTTTTGTGACGCTATATATAAAAATGTAACTTTTTTTTTTCTCACCTATTTNTTTTTTTTTTTTTTTTTTTTTTGTTGCTTCCCTATTTTGTCTAAGAAAATTGAAATTCCTTCGCTCTTAACAAAACCTTATGTAGAGGATGGTTTGTTTCATGGGTTAAATCACAAATTTAGTTAGTATAGTAAAATTCTAATATGGGATGAACTAACAGTTAGTTTTGTATGGACACGCACACGAAATATTAAAGGTTAAAACACATATTGCAAATTTAAGTAATATTTATCGTAAATTACATTTAAAATCATTGTAATAAACCTCAGTTATGTATAGAACCCTAACATTTTAATATCAAATACTTTACTCCTGTACATAATATGAATACTTGTAACGACCTAAGTCATTTTGGGTTCCTCTAGCATCTTCTTTTATGATTTGAGACCTTTAACAGGTTCATATAATATTTTTGACTTGCAGGTATGAGCGATGTGGACCCTAAAAGGCTAGGGAAGGTTTGGAATCTTATATTGCTATTTAGAAGGTTAAAAGTCTAAATTAACGAACTTACTCCTCGATTCTGGTAGTAATACTTTAGATCATGCTCTCAAGCATCAAGCAAGTTTATATGATGTCACTATTGGAAAATGAGCCTATGGCAACAACCGAAAAGCCGTTGCAACAGACAGATGAACCGTTGCCATAGAGTTATTGGAACGGTTTGGCGACCGTTACATACGCTGCCGTGCCAATAGTTCTAGGGTAACGGTTCTTGCAACGGTTATCCAAACCGTTGCTGGAGGGCGATCTGTCACAACGGTTTTTCCTCTGCCTGAAGCAATGAGTATTTCTTTCCAGTTGCAATGGTTAAAACCCGTTACCATAGCGTTTACAGTAACAGTTGGCAGCCGTTACCATACAAGTTTTTGCAACGGTTGTGTAAGCTATTGCAACATTTATTTACATATATTCTAACGGTTTCATTACGCTACTGTTACGGTTTTATTTCTTTTGCAACAGTTTTAACTACCTGTTGTATCAGGTTTTCGCACATTTTGGAATGATTTGTAAGATCTATTGGAACGGTTTGCAAGACCTATTGGAATGGTTCTAACCACCCATTGTATCAATTTGTCGCACATTTTGGAACGATTAGTAAGACCTNTATATATATATATATATATATATAATAATTTGTAATAACCTGGAATTTATATAAATAAAAAGATAAAAAACTTCATAATCTATATTGTCTCCATAAAACCAAAATATTTTAACCCAATCACATAAGTTTTATATTTCAACACTTCAAGAGTTAGAGTTATAAGTTTCAAATGTTGATAACAAAAGATTCCTAGAATTTGGACAATAATTCAAAGTTCTTAAGTAAGGTCTAGATCTTCACAATCTCCATATTCCCTTTCTTCAATTGCCCCACCTACAAAAGAGGATAAATAAAGTCATTATCCTTCAAGGGTTGGTTTATCATTATAAGAATGGGTATGGTCCATAAACAATACATAAAGCACAAAGTTGAAAGCAAGGAAATCAAGCGAAGAAAGATATATTGGGAATTTTGTACAACAAATTAATCATTCTACTATTGTTTCAGATATATGATAGGACTATTTTCTTACAGAACCAATCAAGTGGACTTCTTTATCCAAGTTCACAAAATAACAGTAAAAATCTCAAAGACAAGAAAAAAAGAAGACGACAAAATGCATAAAAGTCCTAGTCTAAAATGCAAATGAGTCTTAATATAACACAGGAACAATAAGAAGTCAACAAATGTGCATAATATAACAACTTTGATATTCTTCCATGACCGAAAAATCCATCTTGAGCTTCATGGGGATAAATTGCAATGTCCATATTTGAGATTCAAGGTGTCGAGGCAGTAGGAAGAGAGATGAAGAAAAGGGCAAAGGATCTGGTGATGGAGCTGGAACTAATTCAAGATCAATATCTTCAAATCCTTGTGGAGGAGATGATGTTAATCTGTTTTTTCATAACCAAGGCGTCGAGGCAGTGGAGGCAGAATTTCACAAATCCTCGATGTTGCATCATAATTTAGCATATGAGGCATCAAACAGGACAAGGATCTTAACAAAACACATAGAGACAACACGCGATATTGATCTCAAAAGGGACAGTACCAAATATGGTTGCAGCAAACACAAAGTTGCAGATCAGGTCTACAAATGGATTCTCTCAATTTCTAAAGGGAATTCATATGCACATACAGGGAGTCAGGCAACAGGAATACAAAAGGGGAGCTAATTGAGTCACAAGGAAGGCATGGAAGCAGAGGAAAAATGCAATCATAAGGAGCATAAATCATGGAGAATGCAGCAGTTAGAGGCTGGAGCTATGAAGGATAAATGGCAGGCTAGATGAAGGAAATCATCTTATACAGATAGCAGGTAATACTAGGAACACAAGAGGAAGAGGAAAAAGCATGAACACTCATGGATCTCACACGAAAAAAGCAGAATAAAGGGCACAATTGAAGAGTGGAGCTGGGCAAGGAATGCAGCAGACAACTGGAGGCTTCAAGATGCAAGAGTTTGCAAAGTTCTATGGATCAAGCAAGGAAATATTGACTATATTATAGCTAATCAACAACAAATAAAGAGAAATACACAATGGCTATTCTGGGCAGTGGCTAACCAAGGAAAAGAGTTGGTTCATCATCAACACAAAAAAAAGGTTAACATTGAAACCCAAACACAAGACCAAGCAACCCACCATGTCCTATTTCAAGGGGCCAATATATTGGACCAATCAATGACAAGAACATACATACTGGACCAAACAACCCACCATGTTGAACTAACTAAACTATCATTTTCTCCATGTTTCATCATAGCCCAAAAATAAAGTTGCAGAGGCAAGATAGACGTACTGACCTTGATTATTACTCCCATTAGATAGACGATTGATTAGTTGCACAGCAGCTTATTGTGCAAAGGAAGCTTCTCCAGGTGAACGAGCATTGAAAGTTAGCATGCTGGGATCAACCCGTAAATCTGGATTCAGATGCTTAAGTTGTAAAATGATGTTAACTGCAACTTTTAGTTCCATGGCATCTTTTTGTGCATTGAACTTTTCCTACAATCTTTGTTGCATCCTTTCTTCTATTTCCTCCAATTTTTGCTGCATCACCTTATCAGTAGAGGGTCCCAAATATCCCAATTTTCTTTTTAAGGAAGTCTTGGTAACCCCACGTCCATACAATCTTGGGCGACCTGGATGCTCAGATCCCATGACTGATGCAAATGCATCAACTGATTGACTGCCATCTTCACTTTCTTGTGTTGGTTGTATTCTTTCTATTTCAGCCTACAAGACCAAATTGAGTCATTGTTCAATCAGAAAGTATATGACACTGAGTCAATAACTAAGAACAGACAAATGATAACAAAAAACTTTAAATTAATAACTCGTACAATTTTGTTAAGAGTATCCGCATACGAGGCCTTGTAACTCGATCAGGTTTTCTTTTTCTTGTGGCCACAAAGATGTTCTTGCTTGATAGAGGCTCAGAAGTTTCTTTCTTTTTTTCCTGATTATATAAAAAGTGGTATAAAGTTAATAAGTTCATATTTAAAAGAATAATAAGAAAGAAAATATCAAACCTCGCATATTCGAGCAAAACTTCGTTTGCCAGCAATGTGTGGATATTTTAACTTTTTGCGATTCTCGGTATTGGTTTGGGACATTTTCTGCAAATCAGCCAATGTGGCATTATATCGAAAAATGTTGGATGAAAAATCTTTTCAAACTCACAATTTATTTCAACAATTTCAGAGTTCATTTTTTCAAGATCTCTTCGTCTTATGACCTTACTACATATAGCTCTAAAAAAATTACCCAACCTAATCAAGGCCAATGAAACACTCTTGGGCAACGTCTTTCTAACAGCAACCTGGTGCAAGTAATGTATTAAAAAATGAGTATCATGACTCTTGTACCCTGATATTTTTATCTCCTTCACGTGCACGTGTTCTGAAATATTTGAAGCACAACCTTTTGGTAACTTGGCATTTTTTATGACAGTACAAAATAAACTTTTCTCTTTTGGTTTCATGTAGAAACAAGCTTTAGCCAAACTCACTGTTCCATCATCATCTTCTCTTCGTTGTAACTCCTTTCGTATCCCCATTTCTTGTAAGTCATGGCGAGCATTTACATGATCCTTTGACTTTTTTTCCATTTTCAATTAAGTCCCAAGCAAACTGTCACATATATTTTTCTCTATGTGCATCACATCAAAATTGTACCTCAATTTGTCATGCGCCCAATATGGCAATTCAAAAAAAAATAGATTTTTTTCCACGGACCCTTGTTATCCCGAGGTCGTTTCTTTTTGCCCTTTCCAAAAACATTGTTGAATTCAAGCAGCTCTTGAAACACTTCTATACCCGACAAAGGAGTAGGTGCAGGTCTATGTTCCTCCTTACTATCAAATGACTTCTTATCTTTCCACAAAGGATGATCATGAGGCAAAAATCTTCGATGGCCCATATAACACATCTTATGACTGTGTTTGAGATATAGAGAGCATGTGTCATAATTACAAGTGGGTCATGCCAACCTCCCCTTGGTGCTCCATCCTGAAAGCATAGCTAATGCCGGAAAATCACTAACTGTCCACAACAAGGCTGCACACATTTAAAATATTTGCTTTATCTCAGCATCATATGTTTCTATCCCAGTTTCCCATAGTTCCTTCAATTCTGCAATAAGTGGTTGTAAGTACACATCTATATCATTTCTAGGAGATGAAGGACCTGGAATGATCATTGACAACATGATATATTTTGGCTTCATGCAAATCCATGGAGATAAATTGTAGTTCATTAACATGACAGGCCACGTGCTATGAGAAATGCTCATAGTTCGAAATGGGTTGAAACCATCACTTGAAAGACCCAACCTAACATTATGTGGATCTTTGGAGAAGTCGGGATGTAGAGAATCAAAATCCTTCCAAGCTTCTCCATCAGCAGGATGCTTCAAATTCCCATTATTAGGTCGTTCATTAGCATGCCATCTCATTGCAATAGTTGTTTCAGGACACATGAATATCCTCTGAAGCCTAGGCTTCAAGGGAAAGTACCTTAAAACCTTTGCAAGAACTTTAGAACTTGCATTAGTCAAGGCACGATTAGAACTTTTCCATCTAGAAGACCCACAAACAGAGCAATTATCGGCCTTTGCATTGTCATTCCAAAATAGCATGCAATCATTAGGGCATGCATGTATTTTATCATAATGAAGACCCAAATCTTTTATCATATTTTTAGCCTTGTTGAAAGACTCTGGCAGCTTAGCAAAGGGAAACAACTCTTTTAGCAACTCTAACAAGTCTAAAAAGGCTACATTACTCAACCCATGCAAAGACTTAAACAAGTACAACCGGATGGTGAAACTCTGTTTATTGAAGTTTTCACACCCTAGATATAATTCTTGTTCCCTTCCTCTAAATTTAAAAAATCTCTTAGCATCTTCAGATAGAGCCTCTTTCATCCCTTCTTGTTGTACCGGCTCGCCTTCTACATTTCTGAATGGATCATGAAGTAATCCATCAATATCATCACACATGTTAGAACCTTCATCATTATTGCTTTGACGAGGTGTAATTCTAGAGAAAATCCCTTCACCATGGAAAACCCATTCGGTGTAACCATCAACAAAGCCATTAACGACCAAGTGATCCTCCACCACATTTCTATAATGCCAATAGCGATTAATGTATTTTTTGCAAGGGAATAATATTTAATTTCCTTGGGAAGCTCGTTCAAATGCCTTATCAAGGAAATCATTCACTTCACGGATATACTCATCCGTCCATCTTAGGAGATGCATTCAACTTTTATCTACATTATCCATGAAAATCCTATACGACAAAAGTAAATCAACACAATTAACTCATGCCTGGTAATGTTTACTCTTTCTTCTATCTAGATTCTAACCATGCATCTTCTACATAGATTCTAACATTCAAAATGATACAAAAATTCTAGAGCTGATTCTTTTGAATCCCCTTGTTTTGGTTTGCTGGTTCAACTATTCTGCTATTAAAAGCCTACAACTCTGTTCTTAGTTCTCTAGTAATTATATTCTGAGGAGTCTCAATCTATGTAATTAGCTTTTCATCTAACTGTTCATTATCTATGACATTAGAAATTATAAATCAGTTCACAAATACAAAACAAATTCTATCAGATTAAAAATAACCTCCCATTCAGATAGAAATTAAGTGAAGAAACTCAGAAGTGCAAATCTAGTTCTATCCCAATTCTATCATTCTACTATTAGAGCCTTACCGTCCTTCAATTAAAACATAGTAGCATTATTTTTGACCATTTCAGAATACTATTTAATGTTCTAATATTTACATCCAGCTAGCCTCTCCATTTTACAATGAAAAAATACGAGAAATAAATTTGAAGTTCAAAGACATAATTCACTACTAAGAGCTTCTAAAACTATGTGCAAGTATTGATTATCTTAGAAAAGAAAACTATCACTGAAGCAAGTAAAATTTACTGCATTTGAAAAAATATACATTAACAAAATACACCCAATTTTTATTAAGTAAAATTTTATTAAATATAAAAAGGTACCCAAGATCGTATAAATACAATAGGCCAGCAGTAACACAAAACAAATGGGCCTTAACAGAAAAGACCACCGGGTACATACTTCATTAGCCTTATTCCATGGCATTGCATTGTTACCAATTATTTTTTAGTTGTAACTCATCTCTTTAAAATAGTTTCAGAAATGCAAAAAGGGAAAATTACTTAATGTATTCAGTCTTGGAGGAGTAATTGTCAAATGGAGTGATTCAAACCAGAATAATTTAAGAGAGATTACACTTTATATAAATTTTAAAAAGATGGACAAACTCTATAAGTGTGATGGCCCTCCCCTTCAAAAAAGACACGTGTGGTACACTATACTCATTCTTCATTGCCAACCCAAAAACAAAGCGAAAAAAACTGAAAACATGTTATTTCTTCTTAGGTTGTTATTTTCTTTTGAGGAATCCAAAGATAATTATGCAAGAAAACTGAGGAGGCTGCTGATTAACAAATAAATCAAAAGAAGTGTGAGAGAGAAAGATCATAAACCAAGAAGAATTGTTAACCCTTATTTCATCTTAATTCATACCTAAACAGTAAATAAACTAAGATCTTGTTCCTTACTAAGTAACCAAAATAGAACCATAACCAACTATCTCTCCCAATGATAGGATAAATCATAAATTCAATTGATTTAGACATATTACCAAGCACCTTTTGTGCATCAGTATTTAAACCGGACATGCAATCAAAAATTTTAACAGAAAAATATCCCCAAAAATAGAGAAACTACCAGAATAAAAATTAAATCACACAACAGAGATAACATGAAACAAAAATTGAGAAATCTAGGATATGATATAAATAAAATCCTAAATTAGAGAAGGACATACATTAAATTTGTTGTACAAGTTGGAAGCAGGAACCTCACAATCTATATTTCTCAACTTATATAGAATCATGCCATAAAACACCATCGGCAGAAAATTTTCAAACACAAAATATATAACTCCGAAAATGAAAGAGTGAAGAAGAAAGAAAGCGCAAAAAAAAAGATAGGAAACTCATCAAAGAGATTGATACTTCGAATATGTGTAGGGAGAAACAGAGATTTGCGGAACTTGAAGGTGAGCAATAAATGTACACTGCATGTGTTATTCAATAATGAGTTAAGGCTAATATTTATTCAAAAATCATCAACGTATCTACTGGAATTTGTGCACTTGCCAATAAGTTCACAATAAGCCTATTACTTTGTAAAACTACTTTCGTTACTCAAAAATTGCAAACTCTTCTCAACATAAACTTGTTTCATTTTCATTCTCCCAACTAACAAGAACTTAAGTAATAACCAATGGCATCCAATGTCAACTCAACCATTAGCTCTAGGAAAATCAAGCAGAAGGGACATGCATACCAAGTTGGAAGGAACGTTGTCTAACTAATTAAAAATTAATACCACAGCTAGATCATTATAATTACAAACTATGAAAAAAAATAAAAAAACATGAGTACAATTGTTTTGAGAAAAAGAATAGAGCCAACATGCACCCAAAAATAGAAGCACATAGAAGAACAATAGCCATAGAGAATGAAGCTCGACGTCGCAGTAGTGTTATACTAAGAATGTAGAAAAACGATTGTACAAATAATTGAATAAAGAAGAAGTGAAGATTTCATCACTGCTTACCGCTCAAACAAACTCTAATTAACACAGTTAACAGAGAGAAAAAGAGGAGAATTAGAAACAAACAAAATTAAAATCTCAATAAATGAAATATCATGACTATCGATAGAAAGATAAAAGCTGGCACAGAAATTGTAATTAACAATGTAAACAAAGAGAAAAAGAGGAGAATTAGAAATAAGTTGGGATTTATTTCTGCAAAACAGTAACATTAATATTGAATACAGTGGTGCCTAGTTATACATTCTTTCAAGTTCAAGTCTCTCTATGGTGAAACAACAGATCTAATGCAGTATCAACAGTTTTTAGAAAACACGCATAAAAAGTTATCCCTTTTGTTTGCTGTCCAAGTCCAGCACTATTTCAAGGTTTTTAAAGCTAAGATTCACAAGCACATGCTCTATTTTCCACAAGTTGTTACACGCATCATTAACACTTGCAAGTTAAATATATTTTTCTGTATCTCATGTACATATCGTGCTACAGAACAACCACTTTGAGCTTCAAACTTGAAGCATTTTATCACCAGAAAAAATCAAAGAATGGAGCGCAAAAGAAAACTAATAAAAATGCCCCAAAAAAGTGCACCCAAAATCACAAATATTATATAAATTTACATGTATTCCTTAAACAAAACAATAAACCTCATGAAATCTATACATGAAATCAATACAGATCGATGAAATTAAAAGGCGGACCACAAATTCAAAAAGGAAAAAAACAAATAGGGAATAATACTAGGAAGAAATATTGAAATAAAGAAGCAATTAAATTAGTAAAATGGAGGAGATTTACTGTATATAACAAAACTTAGGCTTTGAGATTTAGAGAATACCCATTTGTACTCTTATTTGACAAATATTAAAGAGAGTCTATTAAAAATAGGCGAAAAACTTGAGAGAAAGAAAGTACCTATAATTTCACCCGCTCAAATCCTAAGTCTTGGAATGATGTTAGTTTCTTTGTTTCCTTGGAGTTTCGGACGCCAACAAATTTCAGCAATTTATCCTTCGAGCAGTCGGATATCGCAAAAAAGGTTTTTATGCAATTTCGTTGTCTCTAACAGAGAGATTGAAATATGGGTTTTCTTCGAGTAATCGATGTTGGTTTAACAGGGGAAGAAGGTGGTCTTTTCCATGGTGCTTTGGTGGAAGTTTTATGGCTGAAAGATGGTGGAGATTTTGGTTGGAGATGGGGTGGAGATGCGTCAAAGGCGATTTTGGGGTTTGGGACTTTGGGGATATCGATGGCTGCTAATAGGATATGGAGTAATTAAATTAGAGACTTTTATATTTTTATTTTCTAATTAATTAAAACAACAAAAATTATTTTTATTTGGCGAGTTTAACAAAATTTAAGAGGGAATATGATAAGGAGAACAAAAACCGTTCCGTTATCAGTTTTTCCAAAATTCCGTTCTAAACCGTCCGGTTAAAAAGTGCTTTGGCAACGGTTTAATGTCAATGGTAACAGTTTTATATCAAAAGTGTGCTGATATCATCCACATTCTACGGGAACGGTTATAACCGTTGCTATATGTGCTCTATAGCAATGGTTCTATAACCGTTACTAAAACCTATTGCAATAGGCTTATTTTCTGGTAGTGTGTGTTTAGACTTGTACATATGTTCGACCTAGGACCTCAGGAGACCGGAAGCATTTCAATGCTATTTTCATGTTGGAATTTTTAAGGATTCTTAAAGTTGATTTCAGTTGTCATTTTTTTGGTCATAAAAGATTACTTCATTACTACTATTAAAGAGTTACAGAGGGCAAGGTGCTCGTGGCACTTGTGTTGGCTGATGGTACATGAGTAATTACTATTGACCTATGATCCATAGGTGGATCAACACTTAAACTATTAGCTACATTACTACTAGGATCCATAGGTGGATCAGTACTTAAACTATTAGCTACTGTACTACTAGGATCCATGGAAGGATCATTACAAAAACTAGCCGGGTTATTACTGGATAGGGGATCAGGGAGCATACTTGTGCATGGATTTACATTTGGGGGAACATGGTGGTTATAAAAAACGCAAGAGTTGACAAGTCTCCGTCTTACTGTCCCTTCTTTGTCTGCATGGAAGTGTTGGTGGACAAAAGGTAGTGGTGTACCAAAAAGATGCAAGCCATTGTTGCATGCTAATTAAGTGTGTACCATAGTTTTCTAAGCCATCAACTACCATATTATGCTCTCTGTATACATGCTGTAGAAGAGGATTACCCAGCTGCTTGAGCAATAACCTGCAATAAGTGAGCAAGTTAGTATAGTGAGGGTTATCCGAATGAAATAAATTGATTACCTCCTTAGCATCTATATTGATCCCCACTGGGAGGTAACCATGTTGTAAGGCTAGGCGCAAGCCATGGAGTAAAGCAATTAGCTCCGTTTGGATGCTATTACCAAACTCGATATGTTTAGCAAATCCCAAAATCCAGTCCCCTTCAGATGAGCGTATGACCCCTCCCCCCATGCTATTAAGACCTAGAGACTTAGCTGCTCCATCAATGTTCAATTTGTAATATTTTGGTTGGGAGGTTGCCATTTGATATAAAGAGGAGCTTGTGTTTTGTGTTTTTGTTTTGTGATGTAAGGAAGTGAAATTCCGTAGCTCTTTTAAGGATTTGGTGGTAGGGGCTGGGGTAGAATTTTGGTTGAAAATATTATTATTGCATTGGATCCAAATACCCCATAGACAGTATGGAATTAATGTGGATGGGGAATGTTGTATGGGGTATGGTGTGTGTATTGGGTGATCAGCATTTTGATTTGCTCAAGTAGAGGAATGTTGATGTCTTTGAGGGAGGTTATATGATGACTAAGACCTAGGTGGGCCCATAGGGGTGTGGAGGTAGTGCAGTCGAAGAGGAGATGTTTTATAGTCTCACTACCCATAGAACAGTAAGAGCAAAGGAGATTGTTGATAATGTTAAGATGATCTAAATATGCATTTGTGGGGAGTTTGTTGTGGTTGCAGAGCCAAAGAAAGTACCTAATTTTTGGAAGCGTGTGCAGCTTCCATATCCAAGTATGGCTTGGGGAAGGGGTATGTGGCGTTAGTGCATGATAACATGATTGGACAGTAAATTATCCTGATGGTGTGAGGTTTCATATATGAGAATCATGATGAGTGGGGTATTGGGGTAGGTAAATACTAAGTATTTTAAATATTAAAGTCCGGGGAAGCTGAAATGGTAGGTTAGTTACATCCCAAATATTTTCGTGTATGTAGTAACTAATCTTTCACTCGGACTCTAGAAGTGGTAGGGGGCCCATAATTAGGGATCTAAGGGAGGTTTGGTTATCAAGCCAATTATCATCCCAGAAATTGATTTGGTTGCCCGATGAGACTACCCATTAAGCCCCTAATTGACAATGGTGCCAGCCCTATTGAATGTTTTTCCAAATGAATGAGGTCTTTTATAGGTAATACACGTTGTTAGGAGTATGGATGCCCAAAAAGATGATGGATTCTTAAAAAGTCTCCATGCTAGATTAGCTAGGAGGGCTTTATTTTGGTGGAGAGGTTTTGTATTCCAAGACCTCCTTGGGATTAAGCAGTATAATTGTCTCCCATTTAATTAGATGCATGTTATTCTTTTGAGAGGTGGCGCCCCAGAGGAAATGTTTTTGGTATCTATCTAATTGTGTAAGGATATTGTAAGGGAATGAGATATAGTGCATGGTATGATTAGGTATAGAGTTGAGGGTGGATTTGATAAGGCTGGCTCTTCCTGTCATAGTAACGCATTGGATCTTCTAACCGCCAAGCCTTAATTTAAAATTATCCATGAGGTGTTGAAAATCTCTTTTTATAGGTCTTCTAAGTAAAATGGAAAATCCTAGGTACCTACCAAAAGATTTTCCTTCGTTTTAAGTTTTAAGCTTTTTGATAAGTTCATATATGGTATTTCACCTTATTGAAATAACTTGGAGTGGTATCAAAAGGCTCAGGTAAGTTTCGGAAAAAATGGACTGCTAAACATGGCCTTTCATTTTTAGCCTTATTTCATAAGAGTATATCTTCCAATTTATAATCAATTTGGAGATAATTCAAAAATAAAAAATGTAGTTCCTTGAGTCTAATTTCCAGAGGTTCAAACCATTGAACATTTATAGAAAAAGTTATAACTATTTTACTGAAGGGTAGCACTGCACTTACAATTGAAATCAGAAAATCTGAAGACCTGTCGTGATGCATGGGACGCTGCGACAGGTTAATTTTCAGCAAGTCTTAGCCTTCTTCTATAAATAGCCCACATTTCGTATTCAAAGTTTATTTTATTGTTTTTGGAGCTAGGAAGCTCAGATTAGCATGATTTCTGAATGATTTATTATCTATGATGTTCATATAAGTGATTCTAACTCGAACGACCAAATCTATTATTATATCATGAATTTATCATTACTTTTTCTAAGGAATATGTATTGAAAGTTAAATCAAGTAAAATTTTAGAGAAACCTAGAATTATCTAAATGATAATTTGAATATCTAAATGACCTTAGATTTGAAATCTAATAATATATTTTGACTTAAGAGGTTTTAGGTGACAAAAATTTGATTTTGATTTTGGGGTTTGACCATTTGAGCTCGGGATTGGCTTTTAATGATTTTGACTAAGCTTATTTTTTACTTAAGAAAATAAGTCCTATAGCTTTGTTGGATATTGTAGAGAATTTATTAGGCAAGATATAACTCATTTGATAGATTTGGAGCAAGGAAAAACGAGTTTTAAAAAATAGAGGTAACTAGAGACTTGACCTCAAAGAGAGAATTTTCCCCCCAAAATTAACTTGATTGATGCATGCTATGTGTGTAGAAATAACATATATTGATGAGTACATATTAAGAGTTTTATTTGATTATATTTCAGGTAATTATTAGATTTTTGGCGATAATTTTACTAGAAAACTCATATTTGTGTTTTATTAATGTTCATGCAAGTACTAAGTGTAGATGTGAGAAGAAAAAGGTACAAAACTCAAAAAATATACAAAAGATAGTAAAGGCGAGTTTTTGATGATTGAATACAATATTTTAGAAGTCAAGTTGTGACAAGGAATGAATATTCAAGCAATAGGTAGTGTGATTTAGAGGTTGGAGCTAAAGTTTCTCTCTAGAAATACATGATCCAACTTTAACAGATGATATTTCTCAATCTACAAGGAGTTTTATCATTATTCTTATAGATATTTGAGTCTAGTTTTCGTTAGTTCAAACGGTTCGTCATTTCGATTCTCCTAAGCAAAGTATGGTCTTCTTACTGGACACTGCCAAAGATGCGCGCCCATGCTCCCAGGTGCGTGGCAATGCACGTTTGCTTGCGGAAAACTTACGTCATGCCTATTTTTGTAATTTTGGGCATTCCTCTTGACTTATATAAATTCTAAGCTCATCCTACACTAGGTATCTTGGATTTTTGGAGCAACTTTTGGAGAGAACAAGGAAACAACAGAGACTTTGAACACTTCATTCGAATAATTCAATACAAACGTTTGTTTGAATTCGTGGGTTGTAATATTTTCTTGTTCTCTTAATACTCTTATGACGAACAATTTATCCACTATGGAGTATTCCTTCTTAGGGTTGTTGACAGATATAGTGTCTTGATTATAATTCGAGGATTTGACTTTTGTAGTGCTTGAATTCGTTGAAAGAGTTTTGAATTGAAGTGCAAGGTTATTTGTGATTACGAATATCATTGTATTATTTTGTTTGGGTGAATTTCACGACTCTTATAAGTAATTGAAAGAACTTCTAGAGTTATCAATTAACTCAATCTAGAGGAGTAGTCGAGAGACGCTCTTCAACATATTCATGCAAATGTTCATAGCACTTGTCATTAGGTTGTTTAACGGAGCTCTCATTCATTCAAAATAAGAATTTGAATCATATGGATGATCTAATCAGTTGTTGAAATCGAAAGAGTCAATAGAACATAAGAATTGAACTTGGAATAGAGTTATATCCCGGATAATAGTTGTACATATGTCTTGTCAATGCCTTTATTTCTCTCAATGATATTCAATTGTTTCTACCTAGATCCCCAATTTCCAATAATCATTCGTAATTGATAATCTTTGTTTTTACGCTTAGTTCTTTAATAATTCAAAATCAAAGGTTTATTTTCTCGAATAGTGTTAAGATGAATGTTTATTTGAATATTATTTAAACCAATCTATGTGGAGACGATATTATCAATATACTATCTTTCACTAGTGAGCCAAAATTTTATACACC